TGTAATTCTTTGTATTACACCCCCTGGCATATGTTAATTTTGTTCTGATTGTATACATGTTCTGTATACTGTTTCTTAATAAAGTTTAATATTTAAAAAAAAGGATGGGTAGAGAATGATGACGTTTAAATCTACGTGTAGTTTCTAGCAAAACAGGATGAGGCTGCGCCTGCACTCTGCCCTTCAAAATAACGGTTCCTAAATTACATAAAAGGTTTAAGAGACAATAGGACGTAAATAAAGACAAAAAGTGTTAAAATAATCTTTACAGTCCGTAAACTTTATTTTAAAAAACTAGCGAAAAATGTTTAGTGCGTTTCTCCCGGGGCACATGCATGCATATATATTATTGTATTTACATGAATATAACAGACGCTTTTCCTGGGAGCATTTTATCCTTGCGGGTAGTGAACTCTGTGGCGGAAGTGCTGCCTGTGAGTGTCGTGGTTAACCTGTCTGTGTGAATCCGGTAACAACAATCGATGGACTTCGGCTGCTCGCCGCTAACTCTGCGCTTTATTTAACAGCAGTGTCGAATCATCGGCGGTTCTGATGTTTAGGCTCCTCTTCTCTGCTTCCCTGCGTTGAGTCCAATATGGCGGGTGTTTTTTTTTAAGAGATCGCGGTGAGTAGAGCTAACGGTATTGCTAACGTGTTAGCAACTTGTTAGCATTAGCAGACTGATCAATACAAAGAAAATCACGTTGTAAGCCGCTTAAAGTCTGTGATATTAGCTCTTTTTTAAGTTATTGATGGGTTATTAATGATCAGCTGAGTGAAATATTGCTGTGTCTGTGTTAATGAATCTGCTCATTACTCATTTATTGATTAGGTTTGTTGCTGTTTTATTGGATGATTAATTTTATCATCCAATCAAATAGTAATTAGGCTGTGTACTCTTATACTAAATACACTGAACTGTGATCATCTACACTCTGATTATCGATTAGCAAAGTGACGATATGTTTGTTTTTTCAGCTCTCAATAGCGTGGAGCCTTAAGGCTTTGATCAATGTGAGCATCATGGTAAAAGACTGACTACAGCTTGGACTGATAGCACTCGGCCACGAATCATAATTTTTCAATAACCGGTCAGGAAGCGGATAGCGTGGCGACGGCGTTGTGGTGCTGGGGCAGCAGACTTATGGAGGGTGACTGTCGGATCCCCGTCGCCTGCTGCCGCCCACGCGTCCTTGTACTGCATGCCCTGTTCTGGGGTCTTGTGTCACTCAGGTAAGTTCAGAGGTCATCCAAACCTGCAGGCAGCACTGTGGTAAAGTCATATGACTTTCAAAAATGTTAATGTGTTTCAGGGTGTTCGGAGCAGCTCTGCTGAGTGAGGAGAAATCTATAGGAACAGTTACAGGTATGTCTCAAACTCTTGTCATCTGTTTTTAGAGCTATGTTTTGTTAGCTTGCTTTAAAAAAAATGCAGTTATTGTTCTTTCTGTATTAAAGTCAAGCCCATAATTATTCATTCCCCGGGCAAATTCTGACTTAAAGTTACTGTTATTCAACCAGCATGTGGTTTTTTTTCCTTTTACCAGAAATGACACAGGCTTCTCCTAAAATATTAAAATATAATAAGACGACATACAAGTGGCATCATGTGAAAAAAAATATTTCTCAGCTTTTATTTACAACAAAAGTGTTGTCGTCAGAATTATTCATACCCTTCACAAACTGTCACAATCTCTGGGAAAATCCAAAGTTCTACATCATTCCAAATAGTCCAAGCTTTTCTAAAGCATCCTAATTACCCTGATTAATTGGGAACAGTTGTTTTAATCAACTCAACAGGTGAAAAACAGCAGCTCTCTGCAGTTGGCTTGTGGATAGTCATTGCTAAGACAAAGGAGCTCAGTAAGGACCAGGGGCTGTGCATTGTGGCTGCTCACAAGGCAGGAAAGGGCTACAAGGCCATATATAAATGTTTTCAAGTTCCAGTGGCTACAGTCATGAGAATTTGCATAATTATGATGAAGGAACTGACCTCCCAGCCCGTTGTTCATTCAGTGGGCTGGCTTCAGTCATTATGCAAATGTACTGTTTATAAGATTGGGGAAACCTTCAGTCAGCTGAGACTGAAGAAGTCACTTGGATGAGTGACGAAACGTTTCTCCCACTGAAAATGCTACATCCAAATGAACAGAATCAACTTCTAGCGAGACCAAGGATAATGCCACTTCTCCAGAGAGGCATACAAAAGCCTGCATGGCTAAATGCTCATCTGGACAAAGAAGAAGACTTCTGGTCTTCTGTGTTAGATGAAACAAAAATTGGATTGTTTGGCCACAATGATGTTTCCTTAATTTGGTTTGTTTATTTGTTTGTTTGTTTTTTAAAAGATCAGAAGCCTTCAACCCTTAGAACCCCATCCCCACTGTAAAACATGGACCTAATGCTTTAGAGCTCTTTTTCAGGCCATGTACCAGGCAACCTAATCCGGGGCTCTAGACTGCGACCAATTTGGTCACACACAATTTCTCAGTCGTGTGACAAAAAAAAATCCTACATCGCAACAGTGCGACCAGCCGTTTGAGGGGAAAAAAGATTCCGCACAAAGACGTAAAGACAGCGTGGACCATATGCATCAGAATCAGTGAGATGTCGGGTGAGAAAGCCGACATCTCACTGATTCTGATGTGCCAGGTCCGCGCTGTGTGTTATGTCTTTTTATGCACTAGACCAGGGGTTGGCAACCTTTCTGATGACGAGTGCCTTCTAAAATTTCCTCAGAAGTCAATGTGCCATATGATTGCATTAGCAATAAATTTTATAACACTCTATATGAACAGTTACACACTAGAATCTGGTAGTAATAATTATGGGCTTGACTGTATACCTCGCTGAGCTAACCAGAAATCCCATTTGTTCTATGGGTATCCCTAAATGGATTCCTCCTGCCTCTTCCTTCTTTGTTAACAGCATAAAGTGTGGCTTTAATTAAAGATTTCTTTTTTTAAAGAACTGTTGAAGAACTCATTCTGTGGAAACAAAGTCATGTCATGTGACAGGTTCACTAGTTTTAATCCAACAGCAAAAATAATAATAATAATAATAATAATAATAATAATAATAATTTCACTTCCAGCTACACACAGAAAGTATATGCAGCCAATAACAGATTGTTGTTGTCCTGGCAGCAGTTAAGCCTGAGGCCGCCCCCTGCT